AGAAGACCCCAGAGTAGAGAGGTCCACAGAGAGACCTCCATCAGATAGAGAGGTCTCAGAGAGACCACAGATAGAGAGCCACAGAGAGACAATAGAGAGAGACCTAACAGGAGAGGAGAGACCACAGAGAGACCATAGAGAGACCAGTGAGAGAGGCCACAGCGAGACCAAATAAGTGATCCAGAGAGAGGAATGTAGAATAGAAATATTAAAGTTTTCTAATTTGTTCTAATATGCCTCTCACCCTGTCTGGTCTGCTCCGTCACAGTTGTCTTTACTTGTGTGAGTGCAGAGAGGGAGAGAAGAGTGGAGAGGCAGAGTTGCAGGGGCGGAGTCACAAAACTGCCCACATTGTTGCAACTTCTTTTTCGTCTTCCAGATTTGTACAGTACACCGCTTAGGGGCCCTTCAAATATTTTTTCCCGTAGTTTTCTTGTATTTCATAAAGGCCAAACAATTACAAATATAGTTGGTGGAAAGCTTTGCTCTTTGCTAAAAGTGAGAGATATTAAACTTTCTTCTTTCTTATGTCAGAAGATTGTATTGTAGCCTTATTCGTGTTTGAGGGTTATTACCCATTACTTGTGCTCGTCATTGCTGCTTCTCACTGGTGATGCAACACTGATATTTCCCCACTGTTGGACTAATAAAGGTTCTCGTAATCGTTTGCCTAAACATTGTTCCTTCATATTGAGGATTCCTGCGGGTGCTCCATTTCCCACAGGTGCCTCTCTATCGGGCTCAGACTCCAGAGACCCTGCAAGAGAGATACTTCATGATTTAAAACTTTGGAAACATCTGGAGACAACTATCTGTGCCGACTCCCAAGGCAATATCACAACAATACAGCACAGATCCGAAAGCAAAGAGAAAAATAGCTAAACAAGTTATAATAAGACATGTTGGATCCAACCCAAACAAGCCAAGGATGAAGAAGAAGTACCATGGAGGATTTAACTGACGATCCTGGAACATGGTGAAGGGTGAACCGGTCTTACACTGCAGAGGTGTAGGTTAGTACCAAATTAAACCAACTGGGAATCTGAGGAGCACAGGGACTGGCCTCCTGCCTGGGACTCTGAGGAGCACAGGGACTGTGCCTCCTGGCTGGGACTCTTGAGAGGGCACAGGGACTGGCCTCCTGCTGGGACCCTGAGTAGCACAGGGACTGGCCTCTTGCAGTTGACTCCAAAGATGCACAGGGACTGGGCCTCCTGCTGGGAACTCTGAGGAGGCGAAATAAAGGACGTGGCCTCCTGCTAAGGTCCCAGAGTCAGGACTAAACATGGCCAAGGCATCGTTTCAAACAGTTTTTTTTGAAAATGTGAGCATCTTCTCCAACAATTTTCAAATCCAGGTTAAAACTATTTAGTTTTCTCTGTGCTTTCCAACTGAGGGACTTTAACTTCAATCTTTTGTGCGGTGCTTATTTATGTTATATTTTGTTTACATTTGCTTTTTGTTAGGCCCTTTGAAGGTGCCTTGTGTATGCACTATATACATTCTTTAAGCCACAGTGACAAGAAAAGACAATACTTGAAACAGGTACACTCTTCCCTTTAATTCACACTACTATTCCATCGAACATGTAAAAACCTTCAAACCAGGTCAGAAATGTCTAGGGTAATACTGACTCATAACATCAGCCAGCTTTTTACCATCTAAAAAACATTGCCAGGATCAAAAACATAGTGTCTAAAGCAGACGGAGATTCTTAGTCCATGCCTTTGTCTCCGAGTAGGGTAGACTATACTGGCAATGGACCTCTCACGCAGGTCTGTCCCAAACAGATGTAAAACAGCCTTGCAGTACATCAAAATTGACTGGCAGCTGACTAGAACCAGGAAGTACGATCATATATGCCAGTTCTCAGGTCTCTGCACTGGCTTCCTGTGGCTCAGAGAATAAGACTTTAAAAAACAGCTCTGCTTGTGTACAAGTCCTCTCCCATGCCTCGCACCATAAATATATTAGTGACAGTGTTAGTACCCATATGAACCTGTCCCGGACTCTGAGGAAGCACAGGGGACGGACTCCTGTTAGGGGCCCAGAGTCCATAACTAAACATGGGAGGTCTGCATTTTCAGATTCATGCTGCTAAAATCTGGAACAATCTCAAGAAGATGTGAGACCGGCCTCCTCTCTGACAATGTTTTAAAAACCGAGGTTAAAAAACAGTTCTGTTTAGCTGTGCTACAACTGAGGGGATTTTATATTTTTATCTTTCTTTTTTAATGTACTGTTGATTATTTAATGCTAACGTTATTTTGTTCAGCGACTTTGAGTTGCCTTGTGTATGAATTGTGCCAATACAAATAAACTTGGCCTTGCCTAAAAGACAACAGAAGAAGAGAGCGAGCGAGAGAGAGAGCAAGAAACCAGAGAGTCCTTGAAGTGGATGTGTGGGGGGGTGATCTAATTCTAAAACTAATTCTTTACCAACGACCAGCTCATTACAGCAATCTGAACACTAGATGGGCCCTCCCAGTAGAAGACCGGATTTAGGCAGAGCAGCACTTCATGCCCTAAAAATACAATCCTGATAACGCAACTAATAAATATCATTTCCATGTCATTAATATGAATTTTGTATAATACATCCATGTTCCAACACATGATAAATATACCGAAGAAATAAAAAAAATCATGTTTAAAACTAAAAATAACACCATCATAGATACATAGTTCCCACAGACAAATGAAGTCACATGACCTCCTCGGAGACGCCATCATTGATTGGCACGAGTACTGGCTGTGTTTTGTGCATTCCATTAAACCCAAGAAATGAGAATAAATGTAGATAGTTCCAACCAAATTTTAAAAAAGGCAACTTTGTGAGCAAATAATTGTATATTAATACAATGGCACCACAGTTTAACTTGCTACGGACAAGTTTTTACATATTTGAATCACATTATGCAGCTAGAAATTAACTAGCAAGTGCAAACCATTTCAAAACTTTATATTGTAATTACAGTTGGAGGCTCCATTTAATTATTTAATTATATTACAATTAATTTAATTAATGCTAATGGCCACACCGACACCTAGATTGCTGTTATTGTTTATATTTCTTCCTTTTCGCGTTTTGACCGGAATGTTTTGTGAATGGTGGGCAACTGATTTTTCCAGGGCGTAAAGAGCAGTTTAATTTTATGACACAGATCTATTACAGAAGCAATGCTGATTGTGAACATTGTTTTAAGCCCACCATAGAACATTTAATACTATTTAACACATTTACGTTGCCCTCGAGAGCACTCGGACGCGAGCACCGATCATCCTCATAATAAAGTAATCTAACTCTAGAATAATCGAATCTCTCATGTTACCAGATATCAGCATAGCACAAGTTAGTACTAGAGTTAAATTACGTCGTCAACACATTATAAGGATCACTGATACGCACGCTGACACCAAGTGCTCCGAGCATATCTTGCGTGTTTTGAGGGACGTTTCTGCCTGTTTACTCGCAAGCATACCTCCGGGTTGTTCTGACAAAAAAGCATAGTCTTGCTCTTCTCACATTCATTGAAGTCTACTGAAGTGGTATACTGTAAAATCCAAGTTTTTATCGAACCTCCGTGCACGATAGAACATCCATAATGACCCATCAGGAGATGACCATTTTCACTTTATCACGACATTAACAACGTTTCAGCAATCTTTTTTCTATTGTTTTAGGCCCACAGAATGCCAACAAAATGGCGCCGGGTCGGGCAAATTTCCCCGTATGTATTGACGTCATGGGGTGGAACTGTGCGTGCGCGTGGCGTGCCGGGTGTGTGTGTGTCTTAGCAATGTATCATCATTACCATTCAACTAAAACAAACGTTTTTAAACATTAATCATCTAAACACTGCAAAGAGATGAATACATATTAAAAGGTTGAATCAATTGCGACCGTTTAACTATGCAGTGACGGCCCCGCTGCAGGTGATAGTCAGATCCCGTCAGACTCTGAAGGTAAGCAGGACAAGTGCCTGATTAATACTCGTGATGGAGACCTTGAATAAAATACAAATACAACTAGTGATAGATGAATGTTTCCCGCTTCTTTGTCTGCACCTGTTATTTATTAGCTGAAGAAAATGACCACATGCTTTTCACACACTTTTGTCAAGTATGTTTCTGTATTCACATATATTTCGAGCTTTTGTCACTTTACTTCTTGAGTACAAAAGTGTATACAGTCCAGAGCCGTCCGGTCGCTGGACTGAGGAGTCAGCCAGGGGCGCAGTGGTGGCCTGACTTATGACACAAGTGTAAAAGAGGTAGCAGAGTGAACACTGGCCTACAGTTCTGATCCGTCACATCTGCTCTGCCATAATCTCACGTCAGAGCATCACTGACCACAGCTCTGTCCACGAGTGGTCAGCACATAGTGTACAATCTCTGGTTCAACTGGAGGGAAACATGTGTCAACAAGAATATTTTTGGGGTGACAGAATGAAAATGACTTAAAAAAACGTTGAACAAAATAGAACTGTTTTTCCATGCTGGGAAATGTTAAACCTTTTTTTTTTTTTTATTGTTTTAATCAAATTCTTGTACAATAGCACAAAAGCAAGTTAGAAGTAGCTTTTTTCTTCATGGTGTAACCTAAATCTTTGCCCATGAGACAAGTATAAGATCTCTTGTTAAATAAACACAATCACAATAAACTGACAAATATATTTATAATTGGTGTGTGTGTGTGTGTGTGTGTGTGTGTGTGTGTGTGTGTGTGTGTGTGTGTGTGTGTGTGTGTGTGTGTGTGTGTGTGTGTGTGTGTGTGTGTGTGTGTGTGTGTGTGTGTGTGTGTGTGTGTGTGTGTGTGTGTGTGTGCGTGCGTGCGTGTGCTTACAACAACCTCCTCCTGATTCTTAAAAGTTTTTAGGAGGATGTTCTACTTCTAGGTGGATCATCAAGACTATTGGTCCTCCCAACCATCAATCATTCTGGTGTTACGTGCTCGTCCAATCAGAGCAGAGAGTTTATCTTAAAGTAAAGACATAGCTTTAGTATTTGCACGATGGGTCTGGAACACAAACCTTCTTGTCCAGGTCGACAGAGTGGCCTTTGCCCATGGAGAGCCCTTCCTCAGGAGCTCTGTAGAGGCCCAGCCCAGAGTCCTCCTGCCACTCCCCCAGCCCCGAGGCCCCCGAGGCGTCCAGCCGCGCCCGCACCATGGACACTACCATGGGCAGGAGCAGCCGCAGGTGCTCCACGGTGTTGCTGCTCTCGTGCTCGCTCAGCCGCCCGCTGTCCACCTGAGGAAGAGAGATGGTACTGCAGCTGAGGCCATGGTCCATATGAAAACATCTGTAACATGTGTTTGTGTTGGAACTTCAGACTTCAGAGTGAGAACTACATCAGGAGCCAAACCAACCTCAGCTCCAGAGGACTTTAAAGAACCTCTTGGACACACTCCTTGTAAAGAGAATAAAGGGATTTCACTGTCCAATGTCTGCTTCCATGTGCACAACAGGGGAGAGTGGGATGTCCTGAGTTCAATTCCACCTCCAGACCTTTCTGAGTGGAGTTTGCATGTTCTCCCCGTGTCTGTGTAGGTTTCCTCCAGGTGCTCCAGTTTGTATATGACAGTTTTTGTTTTGTGATGCCGTACATTACTGTGATGCAAGTAACACATTACAGTCATTACTTTGCTCTCAAAACTGTTATGGACCAATGTGTTTGAACTGTTGCTGGAGGTGTGTGTGTCTCTGTGTGCGTACGTGCATGTGCTGTGTGCGTACGTGTGCGTGTTGCGTGTGTTCTTACCACAGCCTTACAGCCTACTTCACTGAACGGACACAGACTCTTGGACTTTGCGCAGGAGCGAAGGTGGTCAGTGAACTGAAACACACACAGGACGTTAGCGTCTGCTGCCACAGGAGAGAATATAAGTATGTATGTATATAATATATATATATTTAAAAGCAATAATCCGACTTATGACTTACTTACTACAATACTACTGTAAAGCTTTACTGCTAAATGTAGCTTATGATGCTATATACAGTGCCTTACAAAAGTATTCACCCCCCTTGGCGTTTTGTGTGTTTTGTTGCCTCACAACCTGAAATGAACATGGATTGTTTGAGGATTTGCATCAGTTAATTTACAGAACATGCCACAACTTTGAAGATGTTGTCTTTTTTTATTGTGAAGCAAACAACAAATAACAGAAAAGGTCAATGTGCATAACTATTCACCCCCCTTGAGTCAATACTTTGTAGAGCCACCTTTTGCAGCAATCACAGCTCCAAGTCGCTTTGGATAAGTCTCTCTGAGCTTGCCATATCTTACCACAGATGTTTGCCCATTCCTCCTTGCAAAACTGCTCCAGCTCTTTCAAGTTGGATGGTTTGTGCTTGTCAACAGCAATCTTTAAGTCTGACACAGATTTTCTATTGGATTGAGGTCTGTTTTTTTTGCTGAAAGTAATGGCTTTCTTCTGGCCACTCTGCCATAAAGCCCAACTCTATGGAGTGTACGGCTTATTGTTCTTGTAGTATCTGATCTTTTATTTTTAATAATTACACATATATTCAAATGTATTAATGCATTGATAGGCCAAAACATCTGCTTATGAGTAGACCTTGATGTTTATATTTAGAGGCCACTTTTAGGCGCCCTGAAGGAGAAGAATGCTGACCAGGCCATTAAGAAGTTGGCTTGCTGTTTATTTTTAAGTCTAGAGATCATAGGTCATGTGGGACATGTGTCTAAGGTTTTCAAATATCATGTTACTCTGGTATAAGACCAGGGGCTTTTGTTCATTCGGGGTCTTTCTGTATTTGCATCTTGCAGGGGACCCAGGCTGAAGCTTTTCATTTGAATTTATTCTGTTTTACATATTAAATCTACTTATTTATATCTAAGCAGAGTCTGATGCTTTCCATATCACTATCACTGTTTGTGCAGGAGGGAAACCCAGTGGGCCACAAGATTATTTACCACATGGTCCTATGTACAGATCCTCCAGTCTCTGTTGTGGAACTCTACAGCTCCTCCAGGGTTACCTTAGGTCTCTGTGCTGCCTCTCTGATTAATGCCCTCCTTGCCCGGTCCGTGAGTTTTGGTGGGCGGCCGTCTCTTGGCAGGTTTGCTTTTGTGCCATGTTCTTTTCATTTGGTTATGATAGATTTGATGGTGCTCCTGGGGATCATCACAGATTTGGATATTTTTTATAACCTAACCCTGACTTGTCAACAACACTGTCCCTTACTTGCTGCCTCTTGCTTAGGTGTTGCAGCCTCTGAGGCTGCAACACCTAAGCTGCAGCCTCAGCTTAGGTGTCTGTAATGTAACAATAGGTAAAAAGCCAAGGGGGTGAATACTTTTTGCAAGGCACTGTAAATATATAAATACTAAGGCCCCGTCCCAATTCTCACCCTTGCCCTTAGGTGTGAGTGCCCTCACCAGCAAAGTGCCTTCCCAGTGGGGAGTGCACTCACAACATTCTCCCTAAGAATTGGGACACCCCTGGATCAAGGGGACAATATGCAAATGACGCAGCAGACGTGTTCCACGTCACACACATTATCAATGTGTCTGATTTCACCACAGATAAGATCTGACATGACTTTATGAAACACTGTATTCATTAAAATGAGAAGTTTTTATTCTATTTCATATGAAGTTTTGATATAATTAGGTACAGAACTGCTGCACATCACGCACTCAGAGACAGACGCACACACGCACACAGACACACATGTACACACACAGAGGCAGACACACACGCTCACACACAGACAGACACATGTACATACACATACGCACACAGAGACGTACCACACAGGGTTACACATTTACATACACATACGCGCACAGAGACGTACCACACAGACAGACACATGTACATACACATACGCGCACAGAGACGTACCACACAGACAGACACATGTACATACACATACGCACACAGAGACGTACCACACAGGGTTACACATGTACATACACATACGCGCACAGAGACGTACCACACAGACAGACACATGTACATACACATACGCACACAGAGACGTACCACACAGGGTTACACATGTACATACACATACGCGCACAGAGACGTACCACACAGACAGACACATGTACATACACATACGCACACAGAGACGTACCACACAGGGTTACACATTTACATACACATACGCACACAGAGACGTACCACACAGGGTTACACATGTACATACACATACGCGCACAGAGACGTATCACACAGACAGACACATGTACATACACATATGCGCACAGAGACGTACCACACAGGGTTACACATGTACATACACATACGCGCACAGAGACGTACCACACAGACAGATACATGTACATACACATCTACGCTGATGACACCGTTATTTACAATTCAAACTCTGACATCACATCTCTCCAAAATCTGTTGCAACTCGATTTTAACTCCATACAAAACTGGCTCTCAAACAATAAATTAATTTTAAACATGAAAAAATCTTGCTGTATACTGTTTGGCTCTCATCACAAATTACTCCACTCCCCTGATCTCCATATTCATTTTAACGACGATTCAAAAATGCGCAACGCAGACACTATAAAATACCTCGGCCTTTGGTTAGACCCTGAACTCAACTTCAAACACCACATCAACTCCATCATCAATAGAACTTACGCCACAATGGGCCCATTATTCTGATAATCTCACTGCTTCACCCTCAATGTCAGAAAACACATAATTACACAACTGGTTCTCCCCATCATCGATTACGCTGATGTCATTTATCAAAACACATTTCCCTCCCATCTCAAACCACTCAATACACTTTTCAACTGTCTCTGTAGATTCATCCTCAAATGTCCATATCACACACATCACTGCACTCTACGAGACCCTTCACTGGCTTCAACCTCACAACAGACGTCACCTTCACTGGATGCACTTATTTAAATGTATTCATTTTAGTTGTCAACAATATTTAAAACAGTTTTTTGTCCCCGTCTCTACACCTTTTTCACTCCGAAGCTCAGATTGTCTCACCTTTTCTGTTCCAAGAGTTTGTAAAGAAGACTGGAATAAACTCCCCACATCCATACGGTCCATTCTGTCTTCTGGTTTATTTACGTTTGAATTATTTAGGTTTCTTGAAACTCCTTGTTTATGTCACTAATGTTCTGTGTTCTGTGTCATTATTGTTAATAGTTTTACTTTTAACAACAACTCCGGACCTCACTTGCGCTCAAGGGTGGTTTTTAGGGGTGTGAAGGCTCTCGCCTCTTCTCCCTAAGTATTGGGACACCCTTGCACTCCCGCGGGCACGCGCAAACTCTAGGGCAAGTGTGCTTTTTAAGGGCAAGGGTGAGAATTGGGATGGGGCCTAACTCTACCCTCCCTCCTGTAACTGACGATGCAACACTGACATTTCACTGTGAGACCAATGAAACATTTCTTCATCTTAATCTTAGTGATTTTCATTTTGTCTCGACTTCGTCCACAAATACAACCTTTGTTGCAGTCGTTTCCACTAAAGTCAGACCGTCACCTTCTCTCGAGGAATCTTCTTCTTCCCACACTCTTTACACTGAAGAGGAAACTTCAGACAGATTTCATCATGAGCCTGAGGAAAGACACAGGCTTAGACCAGAGACCAGAGACCAGAGAGAGACCAGAGAGAGACCAGAGACCAGAGAGAGACCAGAGACCAGAGAGAAACCAGAGACCAGAGAGAGACCAGAGAGAGACCAGAAAGAGACCAAGGAGGGACAAGAGAGAGAGGCCAGAGACCAGAGGGAGACTGGAGAGCAGGGCTCGAGACTAACATAGTCCCGTCGTCCCGGGGACGGGAAAAAAAATGCACGGGACGAGATGAAATTCTCCCCGGGACGGAAAGCCTTTAACCAATTTTTATTTGTAAAATAGGCAATATATTTATGTAAGCGAGTGCTAATGTTCCATATTAAAGAGAGAGAGCTCCCGCTCAGGGAATTCTGTTCTGCTCTTATTTGACGCGGAATCATGGGCAAACATTTTCCCGCTTCTCCGTTCTCTGCGCGGACCCAGTTTGACCACGTAGCAGGTGCATGCAGGCACCTGCACAGTTGGCACCCTGTCCATAGAGAAGGAGCGGTAAAGGTGCAATCCAGAATGCTGCGGTGGTTGTCGCTGCCAAAAGACAGGAACGTTGTCGCCGGCTCTTCGGAAGCGCAATCCAACCAGCCTCCACCAAACACTTTAAAGGTAAGATAATTTATCATTACAGCGAAGAGTTGACTGCTAACGCTAACACTGCAGTTTGATAGACAAGTTAGCTTTATAAAATACACATTGAATTAATGGGAAATATGCAAAACACATACATTTGAGGCCTTATAAGGAAACGTTATTTCAAATGAATGGGTAGTTGCTCAACTAATAGAAATATTCAACTGTCTTCTTATTGCATTTGTTACCCCAACGAATGCTAACACTAAATAATACGGACATTAGCTATATCTATTATGGCACAGATTTTGCTAATGTCCGTATTATTTAGCGTTAGCATAAAAAAACAGAAATCAACAGCGGGTCAGAGGCCTTTTGTGGCCTTGGTGCGCGCTGCCTGCGACCCACCTCGGCCCTGTTAATCCATAATTGATGAACAAATCATTACGTGACCTACTAGATCTGTCTAAGCCTCGTGTTTTAATACAACACATTCTAGCATTAATAATGTCCGTGCAGCTGAACGAGAGTGGCTTGAGCTAAAGACACTGGTGGACAGGCGTTACAGACACATGTCTTCAGAAGTATTGTGGCAGCGAGTACTGCAGGGTGCGGTTGGTCGAGAGGGGCAGTTTAAACACATGCAAGTCATTGCAGAAATCGCACTGGTCTTCCCCATGTCGTCGTCCTGCTGCGAGCGTGGCTTTTCTGCCATGAAACGGATTAAATCAGATTGGAGGTCATGCTTGACCAATGAAATGCTCAACTCACTGCTTCAGATTTCCATCCATGGCCCTCCTCCTGATGAGTACGATTCCGCAAAAGCCGTGACAGCATGGTGGAGGGGCAGTTACAGGGCACGAAGGCCCACATTTGCAGATGATGATCATAAGTAGAAAGAAATGTTTTGCTTTTTTGTAGCTTTAATCAGCTTCTTCCACTAGTTATACGCAGTCTTTGTGCCGGTTGGGCAGTTCTATTTTTTTGTATGAAATGTTAATGTTTTTACATTAAAGGGACTATACAGAGTGGAAAGTCATGCACAAGCTTAATGTAGAAGATTTGACCTGAGGTGGCAGTCGTGAGTATAAAATGGCCGACTTGCATCTAGTTCCTTTAACATTAACAAGTGTTTTACATTATTTAGTTGATGATGTGAGTCTGTGCGAATTGAATCTGTTTCTGTAGTTTTGGCCTCTGATTTAAGTGGGTCTGCCTGCACAATTTGTATTTATTGTTTAAGAATGTTTTACCAATAAATTGCATTATTGTGAAATTAGTCATTTATTTACACATTATATTGTGTAAAACAATGATAAAAATACTTTTATAATAAATGTATAATTAAAAAAATGTATTAGAAAATACATATTAAATTCGGGACGGTTCACATCCATTTCGGGACGATGCCAAATGGTTTTCGGGACGGTGTCGGGACGGTCATGAAAAAAGTTAGTCTGGAGCCCTGCTGGAGAGAGAGACCAGAGACCAGAGAGAGACCAGAGACCAGAGAGAGACCAGAGAGAGACCAGAAAGAGACCAAGGAGGGACAAGAGAGAGAGGCCAGAGACCAGAGGGAGACTGGAGAGAGAGACCAGAGACCAGAGAGAGACCAGAGAGAGACCAGAGAGAGACCAGAGAGAGACCAGAGAGAGACCAGAGAGAGACCAGAGAGAGACCAGAGAGAGACCAGAGAGAGACCAGAACCTGCTTGGACCACGTGCCTTGATGTCTTTGTAGTTGAAGGTCAGTTTGCAGTATTTACAGTTGAGGAGTCTGGCTTCACACTCGCGCTCGTTGTGCCGCTCCTGCTCCGAGCGAAGGAGGAAGTTCTGGCAACGGCTGCACTGGATCTTCTCAAAGTCACAGCGACCTTCGTGTTGAGTCTGAGGAAGAGGAAGAAGAGGAGAGATTATTGGTTAAGAGTCAGAGGGATTAGATTGAGAAAAGGGCCCTTTTGACAAGACTTAATTTATCCTTCTCTACTCTACCCTACTCTACTCTGCCCTACTCTACTCTACCCTATAGATACTATGCCCTACTCTACTCTGCCCTACTCTACTCTGCCCTACTCTACCCTGCCCTGCCCTACTCTACCCTACTCTACCCTACTCTACTCTGCCCTGTCCCACTCTACCCTGCCCTGTCCCACTCTACCCTACCCTACCCTACCCTTCCCTTCCCTTCCCTTCCCTACCCTACCCTACCCTACCCTACCCTACCCTACCCTACCCTACCCTACCCTACCTAAGTGACTGAGCATAATATGTGGCGCCACCTGCAGGTGAAACCCAGATCCTGTCAGACCTTTGAAGCTAAGCAGGGCAGGGCCTGGTTAGTATTGTGATGGGAGACCTCTGGGAACAGCAGCAAAGTGCCAAACTGTGGTTGTGTCCTTAGGCAAGACACTTCCCCCACATTAGAATGAGTCTGGTGTGTGTGTGAATGGTTGGTGGTGGTGGGAGGGGCTGATGGCACAGACTGGTTGCCTGGCTTCTGTCAGTGTGCCCCAGGGCAGCTGTGGCTAATCAGGTTTGACAGTTTAATTAACTCATGTGTGTCTTGGTCTGAATTATTACTGATGATTCTAAACAAACAGATGTTTTCATGTAAATTTAGCCACATGGAATTTTGTTGTGGTTTCAAAGTTAGGTACCTCAGCTTTAATTTGAGTTATATAAAAGTAGTAAAAGTGGGTGGAGCCTCGGCCACGAGTCAAAGAAGGAGCAGGTCCTTCTGACCCTCAATGACTGTGTTTTAAATGTTCAGAGATAAAGCCACAGTGTGTCCTTCTGTGAATGTTTAACCTACAAACATTGATTCATGTCGACGAGAAGTTTGTTTATGGCACGCAGAGTTTATTAGAAGTGGACTGACCATAAACATAAACTTTAATGTCTTTGTAAAGTGCGTTCCAGACTTTTGTTCTGACTCCAGGGTTTTTACAGATATCAGTTCTTTTCAGATTGTACAGTTCTCTTGGATGTTCGCTGGTAGTATTTTGTAATTTGCCTTTTACAACATCTGATAAGACTGTGCTGTTATCACTGTGTGTTGGACCCACGGCGTATGTTTACGTAGATCAACAAACTCTTCACGAGCGGAAACTGAGCTCTTTTAAAATACTTTTATGAAAAGCTCGAGTGAAACTACGGGTGTAAACATTAAAAAATACTATAAAAACACAGATTCTATTACAGTTTCTGCTAAAGCAGTTAGAGCAGGAGTCTCTTCAACACAGTTAAAATCACAAACATTTCTAAAACTTACAGTCATTGCTTTAGACGCTGTAGATTTGAGACAGTTTTAACTTTAGCTTTTACTAACTGTTAACAGGCACATCTCAGTCCCTTCTGCTGCCTAGCAACCAATGCCTAGCAACCAATACCTAGCAACCAATACCTAGCAACCAATGCATAACAACCAATGCATAGCAACCAATGCATAGCAACCAATGCATAGCAACCAATGCCTAGCAACCAATGCCTAGCAACCATTGCATAGCAACCACATGTGGGCTAAACCAAAACTTGGTTAACGAATGCTAAATATTTTTTAACAAATTCTCAGCTTGTAAAAGCGATATTATAATGAAACAAAGAAACCAGTTACTGAGACTGGCAACAGAACAAAGATAATCCACTTTATCATAACATTTTTACACCTTACACTCTAAAAACATAGGATTTGATGAATCTTAATCGTTTTTGTTGTTCATTTTTTGTTGTTAGCTAACCTACACAACAGGTTAGCTATGCTATAATCCTTGTATTATATCAGGTAAGTCATGCTGAGGCTAAAAGTCTTATTATTGTTACACTATTTTCAAGATTTACTGAGATTATTTATGTGTATTATTTCTAATGTGTGATTTTAATGTTTCTTTTCTTGTTCTTTGACTTTCTTTGTGTCTGAGCTAAACACTGCTGCTTTTCCAACTGAACGATCCAACTGTAGTCTACACACCTGTATCTCTCATAACCCCTTCATGGTCTGTTTTTGCATTTTATATCCCTGTTGTTGCTGCTGCGTTCACATCAGCAGCCTCTTTGTCCCTGACACAATCGTCCCCTGTGATCCTTTTATACCGGCCCTGTGGTATTCCCCCACTGAGCCGAGTTCTCGGTGGTTGCCGGGACTTTCCAGGCCATGTCCAATTTCACTTCCTGTTTGCCTCTGCGCTCTCTGTAAGAGGACACCTTAAAGGGGAGGTACCTCATAGTCTTTGATGGAGCCGGTCCAAGGGCAGCTGTCGTTCAGGCACCGCGCCGGCAAACTGGCGATCTCTCTCCCGGCTGCGTTATCTGGGAAGGCCTTGGGGAAAGAGAAAACAAGAATCAATAAGCAGCAAAAACCCCCTGTCAAATTATAATCAGGCTGCGTAATTTGTGGCATGACGAGAATGTCTCTGAACGAGGAAGAAGAATGAGGAAGTTCGAAGGTTCCAGCTGCTCACCTCATTACTGTTTAAAATGGAAATAGGCTCCTCATAGATTTCCTCTTCTCGACAAGCTTCACACGGTTTAGGACCAGAACTAAGAACACAACAGAAGGTTCAGGGTTTCTCATCTCTAACTGTTTCTCATGTGGTTCTTGTTGTTGTTCAGGTCAGTTATTCTGGTTTATGGCAGGGGTGATGTGTTCTAAAAATAACTTGTCTGTAAATAAAAATACAGTGGTGAGACCTGAGAAAGACCAGAGAGAGCCAAAGAGAGACCAAAGAGAGGCCAGAGAGAGACCAGAGAGAGACCAGAGAGACCAGAGAGAGAGATACTTGATGTTGTTGGAGTAAATACAAACAGCCAATACTGTTTTTGTGCGTGACAAACTGAGACTGTACCTGTGATGTACTGTACCTGTGATGCACTGTACCTGTGATGCACTGTACCTGGTGATCTGTTTGAAGCAGTGAACGCAGAAGCGGTGGCCGCACTGGGCCTGCACCGGCTTCCTCAGCACCTGGAGACACTGCTGGCATTTATACTTGTTTTCCATGGGCACCGAGAGCACGCTGAGGGGGATGCCGGACAGCGAGGAGGCGCAGTCTAACGAGATCCGAGCCATTGTGCGCCATTAAACTGACCCAACCTGAAACACATCAACCACAAACACACCGTAAGCATCACCAAAACACAGTCCCACTCTGTGTGTCAGTGCCATGGACGGATTATTCTGTCAATCTTCCCTCTATTCCACTGGGGATTACGGGAGAGTAAAAATAGCTAGAAACCAACTTATTTTTTCTGCTAAAAGTAGACAATCCAGTCGTTCAGAATTTGGTTTCATATTTCACATAGTCAAAGCACTTAATATTCTGTGGGTCTTGACAATCACTGAAATCATCAAAAAACAGCTGGCAGTCAATGAGTTAATATGTATTTTGGTAACTTGCACTGTATATTAAAATGCAAGTTATATGATTGTATTGTCAAGGATTACAGATAAAAGCAGCTGGTGCTAAATCTGGTGCAGCCATGTCTAAATAAATACAAATCTTTGTCATTATGTCAGGAAACAACAACAATTTTTTATAATAGATGTGGCGTTTTCCTTAAGTTTAAATTATGATTACAGAAATTAAGAGATTTTCTGTATATCCAGACCTGAGAGAGACCTGAGAGAGAGACCAGAGAGAGAGACCAGAGAGAGAGACCAGAGAGAGAACAGAGAGAGAGAGACCAGAGAGAGAGACCAGAGAGAGAGACCAGAGAGAGAGACCAGAGAGAGACCAGAGAATTATAGTCCAGAACTTAAGCTGAGCACATGTTTGAATGAAGCTGTTTGAACCAGTTCCATGTGTGTTTGATGAAGGACACGTATGTTCCATGTGTGTCTTCTTTACACTCTCACAGACAGGATGTGAGCAGTACAACAGAATTATGATGATGCAAATATTAACCTAGCAGGGTGTGTGTGTGTGTGTGTGCGTGTGTGTGTGTCGCAACGGAAACTAAACAGAAAGAACACGGACAGGGCTTGGTTAGAAAAGAAGGGGAAGTTTTATATTTCAACCACATATTCTATGTCACAGCCAATTTAAATGTTTAATACTTCCCTCTCGTGTTGGTCCATACAGGGTTTTTTGTGATGACTATTTAATTGTTTAATTTATTCTATGATATGTGAGGTCTTGCCTTAGGTCACTGCCTCAAATACCCAGTTGGGGGAGCCCTGAGGGAGTGGAGTGAGTCTGGGAATATAGGCAGTTTTTGACTTATTCTCTTTCTTTTCATTTTAAATTGTTCATTCAAAAATATTAATAATTAGCCAATACCATGTTTCCCCGAGCCCTACTCTACTCCCCTCTAGTTCCCTTCTTTAGTCCCGGTTCTGAGGTTGAGCTGTAGTGGTACTAAACCGTTCTAACTGACAGAGTGCTGCTGGAAGCCACGGTTACCAAGGAATTTCCACAGACACTGGTTTGTTGTGGGCATACTAAAGCAAAGAGTAGAATAGAGCAGAGAAGAGTAAGTAGGGCTGGTGGAAACAGGACTAATGACCCAGTTTTGGTTCAATCCAAACACACAGAAACTGAACTAGTTTTGTTCAGAAAAATCTACACGAAAGTAATTCCCAAACTTGGGCAAAACAAAGTAATCCTTTTGTATCCTTTCTAAACACCTTCATAATGTTAAAAAACAAACCTCAATATATCCTCATATATCCTCAGAAGCAAAGAACAAAATATCCTCAGAAGCAAAGAAGGATTTCAAACACTTTTATACTTTTGTGTGAAATGTAAAGATGAAGCATGTTTGTGTCGGACAGTCTGTGAGCGTCATGGGTCGTTTCTATTTGACAAGAAGCTTATGGTCTCCTTTAACTAAAACCTTGTGACTCTTGGGAACATTGGACACAACTCGTGCTGATCCTGTGATTTATATGACCACACACAACGTTCACACTGGGACTCACTGAGCCGTCATTTTGACTGCTCCCATTCAGACTAATGGAGTTCTGAGAAATTGGCCCAAATAATGTTTACTTTCTGACCATATTCATTAAAATAAAGTAATTATAAGGTGTTAAAACGTATGCTAGCTTCTGACAGTAATTAGTTAAAAGTAGAACTCCTCACATTTCAAAAGAAAAAGACAATTTTGTAAAAAAAATAATAACATAGAAATAAATTACGTAAAGAAACATAAAAAGTCACAAAGTTAGGGAGACCAAGAAAGCACACGAGATAATTACACTTCCACTTCAGAAATAACCCAAAAACATGACATTTATTATTGCGGTGAAATGTGGAACATAAATTGGTAACTACTGCTGTTTTTTGTTTACATCAGCAAGACGATGATGATGGTAAAAATCAGGAATGTCATGTGATTTCAATCTTTTTGCTTAACTGTAGTATTGATAATGGGAACGGCACATTTAAGCTTTTTGCTTTGCCTTCTCCTTTTGAGCTTTGTGAAATTATATGTTCCTGTAAAACATTGTAAAACTGCTCAAATAAACTGCTACAACTATAAAAGCCGTCAAATCGACTGCTCTGAGAGTTCTAGTGTGAAGCAATAGTCGTCAATAAGTAGTCAAACTGGCTGCAGAGGAAGGAACCAGAATCTTATCTACTCAGGGAGACTAACACTAGCATGACTCTAATTGCAAGAGTCAATTGTGTAAATCAAATGACATTGAAGCTGTGATACAGAACTAAGAGAAAAAGTTCAAATAACCAGGAATGCCATGTGATTTCAATCTTTTTGCTTAACTGTAGTATTGATAATGGGAACGGCACATTTAAGCTTTTTGCTTTGCCTTCTCCTTTTGAGCTTTGTGAAATTATATGTTCCTGTAAAACATTGTAAAACTGCTCAAATAAACTGCTACAACTATAAAAGCCGTCAAATCGACTGCTCTGAGAGTTCTAGTGTGAAGCAATAGTCGTCAATAAGTAGTCAAACTGGCTGCAGAGGAAGGAACCAGAATCTTATCTACTCAGGGAGACTAACACTAGCATGACTCTAATTGCAAGAGTCAATTGTGTAAATCAAATGACATTGAAGCTGTGATACAGAACTAAGAGATTAAGTTCAAATAACCAGTAAAACAAAACGTAGAATAAATCGCATTAAAACACCATACAAAAGCAAACCCCATCAAACAAACTCCAGTGTGAAGCAATGCAGAGCTATAGTTAGATAATGCACTGGGTGTGAAATATCTAGAAGAACTGGTCCATGTGTTCAGCTAAAGTCCCATAAAACTCGTCCTCCGGAGTCTCTGCCCCAGCACCACTCCCATGAGTGTAAAAGTCAGAATGTACTCACCCAGCTCCACCGCACTTTATACCGCACACATCCTCCACACACAGTATTTGAGAGAGACACACCCACTGCACTACTCACCCACTCTCCTGTATAAAAGCAATCACTGATAACAGCAGACTTTACTGTGTGTTGGAGGGGCACACATACCAACCCAACACTGAACCGTGTCCAATAACAGGAAGCAGAAGCATGTGTGTGAAGTTAGATCATGTGAAACTACGACATATGGTTTGCAACTGTTCCACACAATAAACCAATGACGTGTTAGTGGAAATTACACACTGCTTCCACTTCCATATTGTCTTCCATTCCACTGGGTTTAGCTCATTCTAACCACGTTTACCAACACGCCGTGGACAACCATGCTTTACCCTGTGCTACTGCTGTTTGGATAACAAACCTTTCAATCCCTGCGTGAATTTATCAGAAATGGAAACCGAAAGTCCTCTTGAAGTGGAGAAGGACGCCTCAACCTTTACTTGTTTACAGTGAGATAGGATCTGGCCTGAGACGTTTAATTTCTACACAGGGACCGCTAAACGTGTTGTTTTGTTCGTGTCACTCGTGTAACACCGCCCGCGTGACGTGTCGCGGTAACTGAAACGCACACACGCCAATTCCGGAGGCGTAGATTTTCCAAGTGTATCTGTCTGCGGCCTGCAGTACGGAGGCGTGTCTTGTAGTAGGCTACACGATACGCCCACTCTACGTTCCGTAAAGGGGTATGAGCATGGATCTAGTATAATACTGGTATGATTAGTTGTAAGTACCTACTATCTATGCGCAATAATGAATTTATGCGCAATAATGATTTTTATGGGGCATGTCATTGTCATCATTATTTATTGGGGGGAAATGGACGAATTTTGTAAATATCAAAGTAGTAAATTTGCCTACAAAATCTGCCATTACTTCAGACTACTTTAGACAAATAGGGATTTGAAGCGACTCCGGACAAAAGTTAATGAGTCTAAAATAATGTCAGTGCTTGTGTAGATTCATTTATAAAAGGGGCCTATGGTTGGTGGCTCAAATCCTGGCTGCCCCAAGTGCAGTCTGGTATGTTCTTGAGCAATGCACTTCACCCACATGTGTGGACATAGTGAGAGACTGCTTGGTGGTGGCCAATAGCACAGATTAGCAGCCTGGCATCCTCCAACCCAGCTGTGTGGAATAAATGAATAAAGACTACAGTGTGGCGTTTTAGAAACTTGTCAACACAGGATTGAAAAGCACAATACAAATTAAAGCTATTATTACACCACCACCACACACTCCTACGCCCATGGTCTCACATTACTGGTCATAAAGAGACCATGCCATAACATTTTTGTGCCCAGCTCCCTCCTTTGGCATTTTGGGACAAGCAGACATTCATTATTATTGTGTTTTGTCAAATATGTACAGTATGTAGAAGAGGGAGATTAAACATCAAGAACATCTTATTGTTATCTGGCATTTTATGTACATGTTTTTTTATGAATTTGTGTTGTGTGAATGGCTCTGAAATGTAGACACTGAATAAGTTCTACACAGAACAAATATTGCAACCACATTTTTTTTCAAAATTTTAATCTTGAGAGAAAGGCTTCAGAAGAGACCGGTAATCTCCATCTTTCTTCAAATGCTTTCAGCTTCCCTGCTGCCTCCTCCGGTAAATGTCTCACCAGGGCATCCACAATCAGTTTAAACTCACTGTCCAAAAAGAACAATCACAGATTAGATGTTGCAGTGCACATTGAAATATTTCTATCAATATTTAAAATAATCTTACCATGGTTCATACTTTGGCCCCTTTTTGAATTTTCCAATTTCCTCTTGCAATGGAGGTGAAATGCCTCGGCCAGAGTGTGAACTGTCACCTAGATAAGAGTGAAATGTGTTACCTTCAACAACAACAATTCACAAAACCAAATGCAGCCTTAAATTATGTTGTGTCCTGTTTAATAAATTGTCATTGACTTGCTCATATGCCTTTATGGTCTCTGTACATCAACAATGTTGCAATGCAGACTAATTTTTAGTAGTGTACATCCAGGAAACATGTACCATGAGATGTTTATGTTTGAGGGGGATCAGTGTTTGTTTTATGCACACTTTCATTACAATAGTCCCTGTGCCAGCCTGGTGGCGCTCGGGCCTACTAATGTAAAACAAAAATTATGTTAATCATGCTATACTTACGGTACGAGCACATTCATGATGACGTCAATCCAGTCGTTCTGCTGTCTTGCTCTTGGGGTCTCCCTGATGACGGCAAACAAGAAGGAGACAACCTCATCCAGTTGCTCGTCCTCAAAGTAAAGGGTTGGCCTCTCCCTCCTGGATTCCCATGTTGAAACAAGGTCCGCAGTTAAGATAGCCGTAAAAATAATAGTTACATTAGAGGATGGAGATTGTCATTATTGATAGTAATAGCCATATTCAGTATGACTAAAATGACAAAAAAATTATTGAGAAAGCCTTTCACTTAGAAATCTTACTAAGTATATCTTCATGCTGATAAGTTTACCTCAAGGTGTTCCCTAATTGATCTGCTCCCCTTCATGCACTTGATCGTCAGCACACGCAAGTTGCCGCACCCGCTGTGTTTCTTTTACCGCTTTCTAAAATTTAAAAATAAATTTCTCACAAATAATTTCGAAATAACGGTTGTTAATAATTATGAAGTGGCTTTTCACTATCATCCAGTAACTCACAATTGTTCTAGCATTCGTTATTCCATAACATTATCATCGGTATCAACATTAAAATCACAACATGTGCACTTTATGTAATGTCTTATAATGTTGTCAGTCACTTACCAACTGTGTTTGCGGGACAATTTCAGTCATTTTTGCCTTGCACTGGTTGGTCATTGTCCAAGGGCGCTGCTGAAAAAGGATGCAAGTTGCTAATGTGTTAGTTCAAGGCCACTATGAATATCACTCAGTAATGATTGTGATGTCACATTTTTACATTTGTCTCTTCAGTAGGCTGTCTCTACCTCTTCAGTCTGAAGATGGGTGAAAGACACCATTGACCATTTGTTTTCCCTCTTTGGTGAAATGAGCAAACCGTCCTCCATGCCTCATGAAACAAATGATAGAATCCAGAAAAGCAACTGAAACAATTTTTTTGTCAAACAATTTCACAGGCTTTGGAATAAGCAACCAATAAAACATGTAATTCTCTGGTAGCAGTGTTGTTGAAGAAGTTATATACAGATATATACACCACCATCAGATTCAGATTCAGATTCATTTATTTGCCATTTGCAGTAAAAACACATAGGAAAAACTGTGCAAGACTACCCCAGTGTGCACAGTACTGGCATATGCCCTTTCATGGGTTTGCATGTGTGTGATGATCTGTGCCTCTCCATGTTTAAAACGAGTTACACACATGAGCTTGTTCCTCTGCTTCAGCTCTGCAGCTCCATGTCCATCACTGACAATCGTACGATGTAACTGAAAGCAGACATAAACAGACATTTGTGGACACTCAGAAACACAAATGTCTTGTAACATCACCCAATAACTACGGTCAGTGACTTCTGTAACTGCATAATTGCCTAACTAATTTTCCACTGTGCTTGGAAAACATGAAAAGGTTATGTTTTTCCTCTTTATTGCCATTTTAACAATGTAAAATGACTTGGGCAATTATGCAATGTGCCTAACAACTTGTTGATCGCTCATAGTATGACTCTCAGAAGAAACCCATACGAATGGCTTTCTCTGCAATGTATTCGTAGATCCATGGTATTAGTTCACTTCTTAAAAAACATTTCTAATCAGGGTGATGTGCATTTATTTATCAATACACTGTAACTTGTGTGATGGACTAAAAATAAATAAAACACGTTGTTGGTTGTCACTTACTGTTTGCGTACGGTCTGCCATGTCTTCTCTTCGAGTTTTCAACGGGTTTAAAATTCGTGTAGTAGGCGACACGTCTACTACGCGACACGCCTCCGTACTGCAAGCGACTGCAAGCCGCAGACAGACCCTTCTCAGATTTTCCCCCAGACTAACTTTAGGTCAGCGTTAAGAAATTTTCTCATGAACTTTGAATTTTCATAAAACTGAGTAACTAAATTTTCAATAATATTCTCTACAGGAATAGGATATAATACAGCCAAAATATAGAGGTAAACTAAATATTAAATCAAATGTAGAATCTTTGAGTTGGGAAAATAATGGCGGAGTCATTGAGCGCATGCGCAATACAAATATCAAATGTGGCCGCCCGCTGTCAACCTTCTGCGCCGTTTGAACCCACGGCTCTGCGCTTTTCCCAAAGGTCCGTGATTATAAATGCTTTATATGCAGGTTTTACAGCATTTCTCAAACAGACCATGGATAATACTTAATGTGATGTGTCATGCTTTGTCTCCAGTCTCTGTTTTTCTGAATATTCCCGACCACAACATCCTGCCTTAGTTCATTTGGGAACATTTTCCCACTTCACTTAATCTCATTATTACTCATAGTATGGATACATGTTTTATACATCTACAGATCATAGAAAATACCTAAATGTTTGCCCGGCTTGGTTTTATTCATTATTTGTCTTACTATATGTGTTAACCTGTTTTGTTTGTATTATTGTCTTGATAATAATTAACATTATGGATATTTCAGGCTGTATGGCTGAGCCAGGGTTGGCTTCTCTTACACTTTTCTGTCAGATAAAGCTGATTTCAACAGTACATATAACATATTATATAACAGAACATATAATTCTAGTAGTATGGGGAAAAAACGATTTCGTATTTTTCGCACGCAATTAAATCGATACGGTACAGAAAATTATTCATGATTTAATTAAATGATGATGATGTTCCCCTTTCGTGTTTTCTCTTGAGTTTTCTTTTATCATTCCCATCTGAAGTTTATGTGACTATGATATCTGCTTGTTGCAATATTATTGAATTATAGCCCAAAAATCACAATACAATTTGAATCGTCACATTTTTGTCCCCACACTGATATAATTTGCATACATATTGTCCCTGTCAACTAAACTAATAAAATAAATGTGTCATTTGTTTCAGGAGCATGTCTGAAAGCGGCTCACAGCAGCAGCAGCAGCAGTGTTATCAGTAGAAGCAGCAGCAGCTCCTCTCTCTCTCAACCTCACGATGGTTTATATCCGGAGCACATTCCCACGACTCTGCTGCAGAAGGCTCTCCTCGCCGTGGGCTCCGGGGCGGCCGCTCTGCACGACCCTTACAGACACGGTGAGACCTGGACCACAGAGACAAGCCACATCATGAATCTGTGATGACGTTATTCCCTCTGTAGGATGTGGTTCAAATGTTTTGTGGTCATTCTTTCCTGATGAGTGGAAGGTTCACTCCTTCTGTAGTTTCCATCCACTCTATCTGTGACATCACAGATTGGTCTCCATTGTTTAGAATGAATACATTTTTGGTTGATTGCTCTTTTGATTTATGATATTACGCATTCACAGAGTATTTTACAGACGAAAATAGATTGGCTCAAGCAACTATTGTACCTATAACCACTTTAAAATATACTATTCAGATTGCAAAGTAGAAAAACACAGCAGATAAACTGTTTTAAGTTTATTTTGATCTTAAATCTTCCTCCCATCCCAAGTACCAGTCAAAATAATGTAACAAGAGTAATAAAAAAAGATTCTCAGGGGATGGTCCAACACGATATAAATACATAATAATCAATTAATAACAGCGGCCGTCTCTGAGGACTTTTCAAAACGGTGGATTCGCCAACGACCGATCAGAGAATCAAACGGTTAAATAAATAAATAACAAAAACTGGATCATCACTGTCCTTAGACCAGGGGTGTCACGGTGTCCTCTCAGCAAGAAAGTCCTGGGTTCGATTCCCGGTCGGAACAGGGCCTTTCTGAGTGGAGTTTGCATGTTCTCCCCGTGTCTGCTCCGAACAGGAAATACTGGTTCATCACAGCAGTTGAAAAGGAAAGGCTTATTTAGAAATATTAATAATAGAAAGAGTTGGAGCTAAACCAGTTGGTGTGGCTATGTTGTAGTCAAAAGACACTTGTTTTGCAAATACACTTTGCTAGTTTGAGGCAAATGGAAACGTAAAATCTCATAAAGAATGTTCGGTGTGTGTTTTGCAGACATGGTGGCGGTCCTCGGTGAGACGACTGGTCACATGACTTTGATCCAACTCAGAGACAACATGAGGAACGACCCAGAGGGATACTCCATTCTAATGTAAGTGAACACCTATCTATCGGCTGTTCTTTATGTGAACAGTAGGAAATACACAGGACTAGTTTTATGTGAATATTGTTATAGCAGAGTTTATGGACAGAACTGGTCCAATTAAATAATATGAACCGGACCAGTGTGAATGTGTCCGAGATGTTTATTTGTGGTTCTTTCGGGGTTAATTCTTGTTTATATTTTTAGGAAGAGGCCCAGAATACGACTTTCTACTCTCGATCTAGACAAGATGGCCGCCATGCCAGAAGGATCATTTGGAAAAGAGTACCTCCGTTTTCTCAATGAGAATGTATGTTTGGACTTTCATATTAATACATTATTACCACAATCATCTTTTTGTGACTTACTTTTTTCCTCCTCAGCGCGTCACACCCGACTCTCGAGCAGAAGTAAGGTTTGTGGACGATGAGGAGTTGGCCTTCGTCATGCAGAGATATAGAGAAGTGCACGACCTCCTCCACACTCTGCTCGGAATGCCGACCAACATGCTAGGTGTGTATCCAGGACTGAGGCTGTAGACCTAGGACTGAGGCTGTAGACCTAGGACTGAGGCTGTAGACCCAGGACTGAGGCTGTAGACCTAGGACTGAGGCTGTAGACCCAGGACTGAGGCTGTAAACCCAGGACTGAGGCTGTAGACCCAGGACTGAGGCTGTAAACCCAGGACTGAGGCTGTAGACCCAGGACTGAGGCTGTAAACCCAGGACTGAGGCTGTAAACCCAGGACTGAGGCTGTAAACCCAGGACTGAGGCTGTAAACCCAGGACTGAGGCTGTAAACCCAGGACTGAGTGGCCAAAATGACGTGCGCTGACATGCTGCAATACTACCCCGGGCCGATGGGGGTGGACCCAGAAGAAGAATTAGCCAGTATTGGCAGACCTCTGGGTGTTTTGGACTAGGGATGTAAAAAACTATGAATTTTCATGACCGACCACCGAGCCTCATTGAAACCGTTTAACCGCGTAGTTTAAAATATCTTTGAAATAACAGCCCTGCGAGCAGCGTACTTTTCATAAGTGCAGCTATGCGTTCTACTGGATCAGAGCTGAGACAGCGGAGCGATACCTGCAACAGCTTCGGCACCTCTGCGCACAGAGAACTGCTTTTTGAATCTTCCCATTCTTCTGTGCTGCGGGTTAAAGCATTTTTAGCAGCAAACGACGGCTCGTTGTGTGAGCTGATGCCAAGGACCATAAACACAAACATGTTCCATGTGGTTTGACTGAAGCTGCGTATTTGCGCGGATCCTTTGGCCTCCGTGACACAGAGCAGCGCGACAGACCGGTATGTGTGGAGAGTATACAGTCTATGGTGGAGAGAGATGATGCGTGTGGATGTTACGTATCAAAGGAGGGGGGGATGCGTGTGCGCGTGTGTGCATATGTGGCGCATGCCGCATGAAGGTCGGCCCGGAGTTTACTGATACATTGGCACACACAGCTAGAGACAGACCCGCTCGTCACACCGTGCAAATAGGGCTTGAAATAGCGTTTTTAAGAGACCTTCCCTCTCCCTCTTCTCTTTTTTTTAACCGACAGCTTTCACCGGGTAACGCTGTGACGGTCAACCACCGGTTAAACGGTCACCGGTTTACATCCCTATTTTGGACCAGTCTAGTTTAGTCGCTGTGGACTTTAGAAGTCTCTCGTTCAAATGAATGGAGCTCTCGCCGGCTGACGCATGCGCAGATGTGTTTTTTCACAATTTTCTTGTGGGCGGGACCACTTGCGGCCATTTTGGATAGCTCCAGTAGAGCACAATTTTTGGCCCATTAGTTAGAACGGCGGAGATAGGCGTGACTCTGTCCGTTGATATATACAGTCTATGCTGTAGACCCAGGACTTAGGCCTGACCCAAATCCAGTCTGGTTTATTGTAGCCAGAGCTGACATAATGGAAAGTAAATCTATACATTTGTTTATTACCATACATGGCGGCATTTCAGACAAAGACCTTTAGGCCCCTTGGAGAACATCCATCCATCTCTGTACAGGGCTTTACAAAACGCTAATGTACTGTTGCCCCATAGTCATTAAAACATTAAAATGGTGCCACAATTTTAAAAGAAAGAAAATTGTGTTCATATATAAGCCACATTTTGAAATAGAGCGCTTGTTCTAGTTGTAACTCTCTCGCTATTTAGCGGCAGAAGTGACTGGTTCAAACTCCTACACAAGATTGTTCATTTCTCAAAAAAGAATTAAAGTGAATGGGAAACTTAGCTCTAGTTTCCCATTGACATGAGTGAGTCACTTGGCACCCTCTAGTTCCACTCCTCTGCCAGGAATTTAAGTTACTTTTGAAATCACTTTCAGGGTGATGCAAAAAATGCAGTTGATAAAGTGTGTGTCTCTGTGTGTGTGGGTGTGTGTGTGTGTCTCTGTTATTATCATTCTTACTGTGTGTGTGTGTTTGTGAGATTGTTACATGTTATTGTTGTTTTGTTTCATGTAACTGGGGACTGCAGATTGAAAAATATTTTTCTTTGATCTTAATGTTGCTGTGCACTTTCTCTCTCTTTCAAACAAGACTAAACTAAGCTAATAATAACACATTGGTCATTGGTCCATCGGGAGCGGGACTGTTCAGAAATGTTAATAAATGTTCAATGAATGTCCCACATCAGCGTTGGTTTATTGTCTTTGTGACCTAGATCAGATGTTAATAATAACTTTTTTAGTTAATGTGTGTCTGAAAAGCTGATTTAATGTTTTTAGGTGAAGTTGCAGTGAAATGGTTTGAAGCTGCCAACACAGGACTGCCCATGTGTGTCCTCGGAGCTGTGCTGGGACCTCTGCGGCTAAAACCAGTGTAAGAGAAGTGTGTGCGAGTGTGTGTTAGTGTGTGTGAGAGTGTGAATGTGTTTGTGTGTGTTTGTGCATGCGTGTCTCGTTTTATCTGCTATAGTAAAACCGTTTGTGAATGGCTTTATTATTCTGGCTGTGGTTGCAACATTACTGCCTCCAGCTTCTGGTTCAAACTAGTTCTAATCTCAACGTATGTTTTTGAAAGTCGTCTGCAGACGCTGTTAACAACACTGGGCCCGTGGGCTGTGAAGAACGGACAGAAGTCTCGCTGCGTTTTGAACATTTTTTATGAAAACCGATGGGAGCAGTATATTGAGGATCTACGTGAGGAGCTCGGCATCGAACCCCCACCTCTCTCTGTCTCATAGACTGTAACAGAGTTACAGTCTATGAGACAGAGAGGGAAGGTTTATCTTGTCTTAGAAGAACCAAATTAAACTAAGATTTTTGATGTCTGTGTCTTTACCTGCTTATCAATCTACCTATTTGTAGTGTCTGCTATAATTATTATTATTATTATTATTAAGTTCTACACAGATATGAGTCTTCAGTATAAGAATGTGTTGGGACATTTCAGCTAAATTTCTAAGACTGCTGATCCTATGTACCTATGACTGCATGCAAGTACCTATGCCTGCATGCGAGTACCTATGACTGCATGCGAGTACCTATGACTGCATGCGAGTACCTATGACTGCATGCAAGTACCTATGACTGCATGCGAGTACCTATGACTGCATGCGAGTACCTATGACTGCATGCGAGTGTCTTGTGACTCATCGTAAATACTCTTAAGCTGAACATGTTCTGGGTCATTGTTCCATCTTGTCAGGGCCCGTGGGACTATAGTCTTAGTCTGTGATCTGTATGTTTTTCTGTTTATTTACATGAACCTTCCTTATTATATCAAAGCAGAGTCTGATCTTCATTCACTATCACTGTCAGACATAGATTATTTTCCACACATTCAAAACGAGACACCATCAATTCCTGTCCTAATGGTCCTAATCTAAGTAGTAGTATAACAGTACCCACGCTGCCCTCTAGTGGTGGTGACGGGATGATGCAGTTTGATTTTTTTTTTAACTTAAAAACATCTGGACAAAGACATTTACACATGTTGCTGATTTCATTTTTCAAAGACGTTTAAAAGTAAAAAAAACTATAAAAAATATCAAAGGTTTAGGGAAGAATCAGTCACATCCTTTAGAAAAGTGACATAGTGCAAATCCTCTTGAAACCATAGACTGTGTTTTAGGAATGCAATCACAATGTTAGCCTTAATGCACAAGAAGCTAATTTGAGCAGCTGGAGCCAATTTCCTTAAATGTGTAACAGGGCTAGTTACAAAAGTGGTTTCTAAGGCAAGCTGCAGTTTACTTTGCCATTTAAGGCTCTTGATTGGTCAATACATATGGTTATATCTGGATTTACAAAAATATAAAAATATAAACGGCAGGATCACAGAGAGCACTAAACCAAAGGCCTTTTTTAAAGCCCAGAATGGTGACACAAAAACAGTTACTGAGATGGAAGAGTTTGTTTTTACAGATAAGTCAGAAGGAGTTTTCTCCATCAGCCTTTCACTGTCAGGATTCATTGAGCTACATGTTAGCACTGTTTATGTGTGAGAGAGAGTGTGTGCGTGTGTGTGTCTCTGTATGTGTGTGTCTCTCTGTATGTGTGTGTGTGTCTCTCTGTATGCGTGTGTCTCTGTATGTATGTGTGTGTGTGTGTGTGTGTGCATACGTGCGTATGTGAGACTGATACATGTTATCATAACTTTGCTTCATGTCACTGGGGGCTGCAGATGGAAACATTGCTAACGCGGTGCACTCTCTCTTTCAAAATAAAACATAAATATAGTAATAAAAACAAACACAAGGAGCCATAGGAATGTGTGTTTAAAGGTCCTATATCACACTTTTCTTCATGTTTCACACTCAATCCTATGCACATGTGTGATATTAATGTGTATGATACAACAATCAAAGCATGTGAGATTAGAGCCATCTCTTGTATAGAGGTGACGTCACCTCGACTCAAACGAGCTGATCCAGAGAAGAGTCTGCTCCTCTGCCTGTGAGCCCGCCTCCCCCCGCCCGCACAGTGACGTAGCATCACACTTTTGTCGTTTATCACCTGTACTTAGTAATTTCATACATAAGAATAAACTTTTTCCAACAATGACAATCCGTCACATCGAGCCCTATGTCCTCGATGCACAATCAGACCCTAGTTATTTAGTTTACAGAAGTATACAGCGAGTTAGCGTCACTACTTACAGATCGAGGGGGTCCGAGTTACGTCTTTTACCGTGGGAATAATGTGTTTCCAGATCAGCTTTTGAGTAAGTCCAGTTCCATTGTCCCTGTAGTTCTGGAACAGTCTCAGTGAAGTGTCGCAGATGAACCGGTATTATAATAGATCCATGAGATGAACAGATGAAAAAAGTCGAGCCGCTTTCTTCCTCTTAGGGCCAAATAGTGT